CACACGATCTCACTCATTTGTGGAATATAATGAACACAGTAACTGATGAACAAAAAATAGATCCAGAGACATAGGAGCATTGAACAGATCGACCAACCTCAGAGGGAAGGCGAGTGGGGGGGTGAGGGGGCGAGTAAGAGATCAACCAAAGGACTTGCATGCGTGCGTATAAGCATAACCAATGGAGACAGACAGTAGTGGGGGGTGAGGGAGTGTGCTGGGGAGTGGGAACCGCTAGGGAGAGGTCAATGGGGAGGGGGGAGAGGAGTTGTAATACTTTAAACAATAAATAATTTAAGTTAAAAGAAGAGAGAGAGATAATGTTGATGACTTGAACCAGGAAGGTAGCTGTGAAGGTCATCAGATTTGATAGAATTTTTAGATATATTTTGAAGAGTCAATAGGATTTGCCAATGCCTTGGATGTGGAATGTGAAAGAAAGGAATTAAGAAAATTCCCATAATTTTGGGTCTGAGAACATGAAAGGATCGAGTTGTCAATAACTGAAGACTATGGGTAAAATAGATTTGGGGACTTGATGTGTGGGCAGGGGGTGGAATGGAGAGAATCTAGAAGTACAGTTTTGAACATGAATTTGAGATATCCTTTAGATATCTAAGCAGAGAAGTCAAGTAGGCAGTTGGATATAGAGTCTGGAGTTCAAAGGAGAAGTATAGGCTGGAAATATAAATGTGGATATCATTGGAATATTCAAAACTTTGAGACTAGGTATCAAGGGAGGGAGTGTGAACAAAGAGAAGGCCAAGGATATGCCTGAGCTCCTCTTGATCATTGTTGAAAGTGGGTAAAAACCTTGAGGTTGGCGTGATTTTAGTTCCAGTATATAAGTTTATTCTTGATTTCTGCCATGGGCAGGCCTGTGTTTGGGGTCCCCATTGACCTCCCATTGATGTAGTTGTGGACTTTTGAGTTTAAGAAAGGTGTTAGAGCATAGGGCTCTGATCCCTGATAGTGGCAGGCCAGTAGAAGGTCTGAGGAACATTGGGGTTCTCTCTCTCATCCTACCCTTCAATTTTCTTGCACGTGCCTAAATAACTATCAAAGAGGACTGTTTAAATAAATTATGGTATATACATACTATGAAATGCCCTATAGCCATCAAAAGCAGTGAAGCCCTGGCCGGTTTGGCTCAGTGGATAGAGTGTCAGCCTGTGGACTGAAAGGTCCCAGGTTCGATTCTGATCAAAGGCATGTATGTTGGTTATGGGCACATCCTCAGTGGGGGGTGTGCGGGAGGTGGCTGATTGATGTTTCTCTCTTATCAATGTTTCTAGCTCTCTGTCCATCTCCCTTCCTCTCTGTAAAAAAATCAATAAAATATATTTTTTTAAAAAAGCAGTGAAGTTATTCTGTATATCTAGCTATCTATGATCTGACATGGAAAAATCTCCAGCATATATTTCACCTATAAAGTGAAAAAGCAAAATCAAAATAGCATGTTCAGTATGATTCCATTTATGTTTCTTATGCATATATACAATATATATGTAAATATGCCAATAAAATTTCTGGAAGGATGCACATAAAACTATTACCAGTTATTAACTATGAGTAAGAAAGGGAGGGAAGATCTGAAGAGGAGAGGATGGGGCAGGGCACAGAAGGGGGTCTTTAAGTGTTGTGATTTAGAGGACAGAGTTTGATTACTTGGGTTCAAATCCAGATTCTAGTACTTCATAGCTTGGTAATCTTGGGCAAGTTACTTAACTGTAGGGAGCAGCTATAGGATTAAGTCTTGGACTGACCTGTTGGCAAAGCCACAAACAAGTCCCAGGTTAGAGGGCACAGCCCTCTTAGCATAATTAAGTTTGACCTTATGATGCATATTCCCTCCTTGTTGGCTGTGGGTGCTGCCATCTTTGAGAGTGGACAGTCAATTAGCATATTCCCTCCTTATTGGCTGTGGGTGCCACCATCTTTGTGAGGGTTTGAGGGTCAATTAGCATATTCCCTCTTTATTAGATAGGATGGAAGACAGTCACAGAATTAATTGACTTGCCCAAGATCACATAGCAAATAAGTTGAACTGGGTGTTTACATATTGGGTAATGACAAAGGAAAACAGGGATGTGGGTTTGGCTTATCACAAGCTTGGCAAGATGGTTAGTCCTGACAATCTTCTGATAAATAGGGGGCTTTCAGATTTCTCCAAACTTAGCTTTACTAGTATTTGGGACTGCAGGCAGGAGCTGCTGTTTTGTTGGTGTTCCTAATGTTTCTCAGTATGGACAAATATCCAGGCAGAAGTTGGGCCTATGTATTTTCTCATGAGAGTTCACTGGTGGTCGGGATAGTGCTGTAATTCGTAGGTATGTCTTGCTCTTGTGGGGGATATAAAGCCAGTTACAGGGGGCTCTTTGGTGTAAGGCTGAGAGGCAGTTTGTGGGAAAAGTGACCTTAATGGAAGACTTCACAGCTGTAGATTCTTAGAGATGTGAGGCCCAGCAGGATTCTGGCAGTGGCCAAATTTAATATTGCAGTAAAAGCAGTTTTTTCAGTGTAGAAAGCTGTGGCCCAGCTCCTAAGGAAACTTTTCTTTATTGGACACCCTGAAGGGTTTTGATGCCATGCTTATTGCTCAAGGAAGCTTACAAAGAAGCAAAGGAGGTCTTTCTACAAAACTCCTTTGGGAAGAATTTTATAGCTTTATATAAGATGATTCTATAAAATAATTTCCAAATTGTAAGGCAAACACAATAATTAAATATTTAATGCTTGTTATAGCTAAGTTACTTATTTTAGTAAAATGTTTGATAGACTTGGGTTTCCTATGTTCTGTGCTGCATATACATTGAGGACCCTTCTAAAATAAATTAAATAAAATGTGCACAGAATACTTACCAGGTATGCGCAAGTTATAGTACAGAGCATGTACGTATAAAGCATTAAAATCCAGTATAGTAACTATTTATGGCATGAATAAATGAACTTCATTATTTTAATTTTTGAAGAGGTTTATTTTAAGTATTTCTTCTTTTATGACATATTGTTTATTGTAGTGATGATTTATTTGAAGATGAGTCCTTTGGCAGGAGCAAACCCCAGTTGTAATCTTGGAAAAACAGAGTCCACTTTATGATTATACTGTTTACAACACACAACCAGAAACACATTGTAGTGACAAGTGGGCCCTGCTTATGTATCTGTGTAGGTGGGTTATGAATGAAGGTATTGATGCACACATAGAGAACTCAATACCTCATTAATACTAATGCTCTAACTTGGCATTTGTCATAACTCAGATTCAGTTTCTGTGATTATCAGAGTGTATGAAAATGGATTAAAATATATATGTACACCACCTGAAATTAATATATAATTGAATGTAAACTGTAATTGACAAATTAAAAATTAAAAATATGTATGCATATGTAGCTGTATATCTATTCCCATGCATGTGGGATTTGTCATAATTTAGATAGTGTCTCATTTTTATAGAATTAAAAGTTAACTATCATTTCTAACACTGCAAATATTCAGCATAATACTTTCTAGAAGGTCTAAAATTAGTAGGTTTCTCAAGCCAAAAGTTCAAGAGATTAGGAAGTCCATCTAGGTATTATTAATTTTGGGGCCCATCAAGTTAAATTTTGTTTCTATAATATAGTTATTATATTGTGTTATATATAGATCAAATGCAAGTGATCTATTTTATTACACTGCTTAATAGTGACTGCTTATTGCTGTTACAATGCATATTGTTACCTGGCAGGCTCCCAGGATGATGTGAGAGCTGCCAGGGGAGGAAAGCTGTTTGGCAACAAACCCTGACACTGTAGTACTAACCACAACTAAGGATATGATTTTCAGTTTTGCATCTTCATGAACTCAGTATTCTAAAGGTCTCAAATTGATTGATGCTACGAATGCAAAGTCATGATAAGGATGTTCACAAGAGCCCCGTGTGTAAACCAGAATGCCAATGATTAATTTACAAAGACAATTATTCATGGGATTTGATTTGAAAATAGAACATTGTTTTCAGGCAGATCTTTGTGGGAAGCTAAATTATAATCAGAAGATTGTTGCTACCATCGAATCAACGCAAAGGGAGTTAGTTGCACAATTCAAATCCATATGATTGCTCCAAGGGTCCATCTCCCCAATAGAGACTTGAGTATATACTTCCTGGAGGGACTGGTGTATTTGCTTTACAGGTTAGTATACACCTACCCCAACGCCTGGGGGTAGTGCCTGTTTAGGTTTTGTATTTTTCTATACTTTCTTTGCTGACCAAAACCCTTGATTCACTCTACTTTTAAAAATTACGTAAGTAAAACGTGTTTTTTAGTTGTTATCTCTTCCATCAGATGAATCTATTGCTCGCCTACAGGCCGTTTTATCACTCAAGGAAATTGCCTTTATTGATTTATAGCTCACCTCATAGGTTTGGGATTGAGGCAGGGGATGGCAACCTTGTGAATACACTTCGTTTTGACCAGTGAATATGGTTGCCAGATTAAAATACAGGATGATAACAAATCTTTTAGCCTAAGTATGCCCAAATATTAATGAGGTATATTTATCCTTTAAACAATATTCATTGTTTATGTAAAATTGAAATTTAACCAATATCTTGTATTTTTATTTGCGAAATTTGGCAAGTCCACAAATACATCTACAGGAGACTATAAGGCTAGACTGAGTTTATGCTCTTGGGTGAACACTAATCCATTCGGTTACCTCGGGGAACAAAACTCCTTTCCTGGTTTAAAAAAAATTGTTTAGGTTAACAGTAGTTTGCACACGGAAGAATTTTGATCCTTTGAGGAACCCGTAAGGACATAACTGCTATCGGAGTTGCTTAGAGTTGATAGAGTTCCCCGCCCCTCCATTCTTCTCTTCCAGCAACTAGAATGATTTATCTATTTTTCCTTCCTTCTCAAGTCCCGCCCTTTCAGCTCAGGATAGCAGTCATCGGCCCAAAAAGGGCCGGCAAAAGTGGGCGAGGTGTTCAGAGGAGCGGAAGTAGTCAAATTTCACTGAGAACCGGAAAGTCTGCTGGCTGTCTCCCTTTCCGGGAGAAAGAAGACTGCTCCGCCTGTCAGTGCCAGCCTTCCTCCTGTAAGGGGACCCGCCGGACCCGTGCCAATTAAATTTTCCCCCCATTCCAGGCCCTTCCCCATCGTCGCCCCCTTCACCTTGGATCATGTTCAAGAAGTAAGGACACGGTGTGGCCTCGGTCCGCCGCTCACAAAGGTGGTGGGAGGTGCGGAAGAGGGCGAGAGCAAAGATCCTCTTTCTCTCTCCCCTGCCCCTGCCATCCTTACTCCCTAAGGTTTTCTATAGTACTCTGCTCTCACTCACAACTTACAACACTTCTTTAAGCTTTCCATTCCTAATCCCCAATCGGGTTCTGGTTCTCCCACCTTTATTTTCTTTATCCTTACTACCCCTCTTTCTCTTTTGCTCCCTTTCCCAATACTATCTCCATTTCCAGGTTCTACCAGTCACATCCTTGCACTGTGACTTAAAGGTATATCCTCTTTAACTAAGAGGAGAGCCATGCACTCACTGCCGTCTGTTTATTAGTTATGAACTGTATAAGGGAAGGCTTAACTTCCTGGGTCATGGGAGTGGAGGAGTCTGGGTGACAGGAAGCAAGCAGGCTGTCATGCCTATTGCTTAGCTGCCAGATTAACCTTGTCTTGAAAACAGTGTGATCACCCCATAGGCTATTCAGTGTAAGGAAGACAAAAATTCCTTGGGAACGTATCTTTTCGGTAGACGCAAAAAGCCAAGGGGAAACATGGGCAAAGGAAGGTGGGTTTTGTTTATGACATTTTGAGCAAAAATAAACATGGATCTTATCCATCATCATTATTATCATGACTTAAAAAAATATCTCAGTAGACTGCATAGGTTAACAGAGACCGATTTTCTGTTTATACTTGCGTTGGTCTTCTGTATCTCAATGCTTGAGGGCTCTTTTGTTTTGGTTTGCTTCTTTTGTTCCCCCACACAGGTTTGTTATAGGTGAAAATCTGTATTTCTTCCTCGGCAGAGACCAGTAAGATTTTCTAAAACAGGCATTTGTATATAGCTCATTACAGGTTATAATGTGAAATATGCCTCATATCCTCCCCTCCCCAGCTAATTGTGTATGTATGACAGCTTATTTTAATGTAATAAGACGTTGGTTGTGCTGGACAGAATAAAAGGTAAATAGTATTTTAAAAATCAACTTATTTCATTATTATTTTAGCCATCTAACTACTTGCTTGGGAATATATGACTCATTAAAACATTACCTTTAGCTGTTCTGATATGTTTACTTAGAAATACCTTTTTTTTTCTTTCAAAATTCATTTGGCAGATTTGATGAAAAAGAAAATGTGTCCAATTGCATCCAGTTGAAAACCTCAGTTATAAAGGGCATTAAGAACCAATTGATAGAGCAATTTCCAGGTATTGAACCATGGCTTAATCAAATCATGCCTAAGAAAGATCCTGTCAAAATAGTGCGATGGTAAGTTTTTATTTTTATCTGTGTGAAGCTGAGGCCTAAGTAGTTGAATATTGTGTGATTAGAATGCACCCATAATAATATCACTTCTCGGCCTTTTGGCTAAGATCAAGTGTAGAATGCACCCATAATAAATGGAATTATTTTCACATTAATTATTGATAGATTATGGGAGTAGATAAATAGAATAACTCTAAGCAATATTTATATTTTCAAGTGTTTTTCTATATGAAAACATGTACTGATTTTTTTTATCAATTAAATGTTTAGAGTTGGATTTAATTTATTTCATTTGTACTTTAGAGATTTGTTTTATTGAATTACCTAGCAATGAAATTAACAATATGTGAAATAAAATTGAGTATAGCAGCTCATATTTTTTCTTTACATTGGACTGGTATGATAGGTGAAGCAGATAAACAATTTTTTTGGCTTGGATCTTTATTGAAAAATTTTTACAAAGCTTACTGTATCTGTATATACATGTTTCATATTATACATTATTTAAAGGCTATTTGGCATATTCATTTCAGAAAGAAAATATCTAACTTGTACTTTGTGACATTTGTCTTACAGCCATGAACATATAGAAATCCTTACAGTAAATGGAGAGTTACTATTTTTTAGACAAAGAGAAGGACCTTTTTATCCAACCCTAAGATTACTTCACAAATGTAAGTCTTATTAGAAAATACATATTTGGGGATATAGAAAGACACAAAAGGAGCTGAAAGTAATTTCTGGTGTTAACTTATTTATTAGTACTGGTATTAAGGAATATAAAGTAAAATGAATTCCCAACTTGTGGTAAATCTTAAAAATGCAGATTCTCTCATTATGTGTTCCAGAAAGACCAAGAAAGAACATTCATTCATTCATTCATTCATTCAACAAATACTTATTGAACTTACTATGTTCCAGACTTGGTCCCTGTCCCTATGAAACTAACAGTCTAGTTGGGAGAATAGACAACTTATATAATTACACAAGTATATATTCACAAACTGTGATAAGTACTCTGAGCATTTCCTTTTAAATTTATATCTAAATTTACCTCATATAGCCAAAACCGGTTTGGCTCAGTGGATAGAGCATCAGCCTTTGGACTGAAAGGTTCCAGGTTCGATTCCTGTCAAGGGCATGTACCTTGGTTGCAGGTGTATCACCGGGGGGGGGGGGGGGGGAGTGCAAGAGGCAGCTAATCGATGTTTTTCTCTCATTGATGTTTCTAGCTCTCTATCTCTCTCTCCCTCTTGGTAAAAAATCAATAAAATATATTTAAAAAAATAAATTTGAATTATCTCTATAAGGGAAAGCATTGTCTAATTGTTGGAGTCAGTTATTGTTAGTTGAGTGCCAAGTTCAGGTGTTATGAAACAAAATAATGTTTATTATCTACCCACTTTTGCATATTAGATTGAGTATATTACAAAAACATCCAGAGGAAGATATAATCGCAGTGCCCAAGAAGTTTTAAATGGGAATTTAAAAAATTTCTGCTTTTAAAACCAGTATGCATATCTGGCCTTCTAGCCAAGAGGCAGAAAGGAAGGGAATGACTGGAGGATTCTGTAGGTGGTATATGTGATTTAATTAATGAATTTGATTTTTGGTAAGAGGAGATAAATTTTTCATTACTTGGTGAAGCAGAGGTCCAGAGAAGTGAAGCTGTTAGGCAAATTTTTAAAAAGGTGAAGCATTTGATTTAATTTAATTAAAATTTTTTAAAATTTATTTTTAATTTTTAAAAAATGTTTTTATTGATTTTTTTTTAGAGAGAGAGGAAGAGAGAGGGATAGAGAAATAGAAACATGGATGAGAAAGAAACATCCATTAGCTGCCTCCTGCATACCCACTACTGGGGATCAAGCCTAAAAACCAGGCATGTGCCCTGACAAGGAACCGAATTTGAGACCTCTTGGGCCATGGGTCCATGCTCAATCACTGAGCCACACCGGCCAGGCTATTTTGAATTTGAAATAGAGGGAGAGAGAGAGACAGAGGGACAGTGGTAGAGGAGGAAGGAGGAAGGGAGAGAGAAAGAAAAACATCAATTTGTTGTTCCACCCATCCATGCATTCATTGGTTATAGATAAAGCATTTTAATATTTTTAAAGGAATATTTACAATTAATTGATTAAGTATTGATTTCATCAAGTTAAAAAAATATAATGGACAGAAATAGAGTCTTGATGCAATGGGGAAAAGTTTAAAATAAAAACATTTTGGTGATATTAAGACATTTTAATTATATTAATTCATGTTGATGAGAGATTTTGGCCTATAATTCTCTTTCTTTTTTTTATTTTTTATTTTTATTTTATTTTCTTTTTTTTAAAATATATTTTATTGATTTTTTTTTGCCCCTCTCCCTCCCTCCCACACATACCCTCCCTCCCCAGAGTTTTATGTCCATTGGTTGTACTTATAGGCATGTATACAAGTCCTTCAGTTGATCTATTATCTCCCCCAGATCTTCCTCCCCTCTCCACTGTAATTTGACAGTCTGCTTGTTGCTTTACTGTCTCTGTATCTATCTTTTGGTTCATCAGTTTATAATGTTCTTTATTATCCATAAATGAGTGAGGTCCTGTGGTGTTTCTCTTTCATTGATTGGCTTATTTCACTCAGCATGATGTTCTCCAGTTCCATCCAGGTTGCTGCAAATGATGAGAATTCCTTCTTTTTTATGGCAGCATAGTATTCCATTGTGTAGATGTACCATGGTTTTTGGATCCAATCATCTGCTGACGGGCACCTAGGCTGTTTCCAAATTCTGGCTATTGTAGATTGTGCTGCTATGAACATAGGGGTGCATATCCTTTCTGATTCGTGTTTCTAGTTTCTTGGGATATATTCCTAGAAGTTGGATTACTGGGTCAAATGGGAGTTCCATTTTCAGTTTTTTCAGGAAACTCCACACTGTTCTCCACAGTGGTTGCACCAGTCTGCATTCCCACCAGCAGTGCACGAGGGTTCCTTTTTCTCCGCAACCTCGCCAACACTTGTCCTTTGTTGACTTGTTGATGTTGGCCATTCTGACAGGTGTGAGATGGTACCGCATTGTTGTTTTGATTTGCATCTCTCAGACAATTAGAGACTTAGAGCATGTTTTCATGTGCCTTTTGGCCTTCCTTCTGTCTTCTTTTGAAAATATTCTATTTAGGTCCCTTGCCCATTTTTTAATTGGATCATTTATCTTCCTTTTATTTAGTTGTATAAGCTGTCTGTAAATGTTGGAGATTAAGCCTTTATCAGTGGTATTATTTGCAAATATGTTCTCCCACACCGTGAGCTTTCTTGTTGTTTTGTTGATGGTTTCTTTTGCTATAAAAAAGCTTTTTATTTTGATGTAGTCCCATTTGTTAATTTTCTCTTTAGCTTCCATTGCCCTAGGGGCATTATCAGTGAAGAAGTTCTTTTGGCATACGTCTGAGATTTTGCTGCCTGTGGATGCTTCTAGTATTTTTATGGTTTCCCCTCTGATGTTTAAGTCCTGTATCCATTTTGAGTTTATTTTTGTGAATGGTGTAAGTTGGTGATCTAGTTTCATTCTTTTGCAAGTGTCTGTCCAATTTTCCCAACACCATTTATTGAAGAAACTGTCTTGACTCCATTGTATATTCGTGCCTCCTTTGTCAAATATTAATTGAGCATAGTGATTTGGGTTGATATCTGGGTTCTCGATTCGATTCCATTGATCTATATGTCTGTTCTTGTGCCAGTACCAGGCTGTTTTGAGAACAGTGGCTTTGTAATATAGTTTGAAGTCTGGTATTGAGATCCCTCCTACTTTACTCTTCTTTCTCAGGATTGCTGTGGCTATTCGGGGTCTTTTATTGTTCCAAATGAACTTTTGGAGAGTTCTTTCTAGGTCAGTGAAATATGCCGTTGGTATTTTAATGGGGAGTGCGTTGAACCTATAGATTGCTTTAGGAAGTATGGACATTTTGATGATGTTGATTCTACCAATCCATGAACATGGTATCCATCTCTTTACATCTTCCGCTATCTCTTTTCAGTGTCGTGTAGTTTTCCGCGTATAGGTCCTTTACTTCCTTAGTTAAATTTATTCCTAGGTATCTTAATTTTTTTGGTGTGATGGTAAATGGAATTGCTTTTTTAGTCTCTGTTTCTGTAATTTCACTGTTGGTGTATAGAAATGCCATGGATTTCTTGGCATTAATTTTGTATCCTGCTACATTGCCAAATTCATTTATTAAGTCAATTAGTTTTTTAATGGAGTCTTTTGGTTTTTTTATGTACAGTATCATGTCATCTGCAAATAAGGATAACTTTACTTCTTCTTTTCCAATTTGGATGCCTTTTATTTCCTCCTCTTGTCTAATTGCAATGGCTAGTACTTCCAGTACTATGTCAAACAGGAGTGGTGAGAGTGGGCATCCCTGTCTTGTTCCTGTTCTTAGAGGGAATGGTTTTAATTTTTGCCCATTGAGTATGATGTTGGCTGTGGGCTTATCATATATAGCTTTTATTATGTTGAGGTATGATCCTTGTACTCCCACCTTGTTAAGAGTTTTTATCAGGAAAGGGTGTTGGATTTTATCAAATGCTTTTTCTGCATCAATTGATATGACTATATGATTTTTATCTTTCAATTTATGTGATGTATCACGTTTATTGATTTGCGGATATTGTCCCATCCTTGCATTCCTGAAATAAATCCTACTTGGTCATGGTGTATGATCTTTGTGATGTTCTTCTGGAGTTGATTTGCTAGAATTTTGTTGAGGATTTTGGCATCTATGTTCATGAGGGATATTGGCCTGTAATTCTCTTTCATTGTGTTATCTTTACCTGGTTTTGATATTAGAGTGATACTGGCTTCATAGAATGAGTTTGGAAGTGTTCCTTCCTCCTGAATTTTCTGGAATAGTCTGAGGAGGATAGGTTTTTCATTCTTCCTTGAATGTTTGATAAAATGGTGCTCCTATATTGGGTGCATATATATTTTCCAGAGTTATTTCTTCTTGTTGGATTGCTCCCTTTAGTATTATGAAGTGGCCTTCCTTATCTCTTGTTATGGCCTTCATTTTGAGATCTTATTTGTCAGATATAGGTATTGCTATCCCGCCTTTTTTTTTTTTTTTTTCATTTTCATTCTAGGCATTATTTTTTGAAATATATTTTTTATTCTCATTGGGGAAGGGATTGGATGAGAGTGATAGAAACATCAATTAGAGAAAATCATTGATTGGCTGCCTCCTCCAAGCCACACACTGGCGATTGGGCCCACAACCCAGGCATGTGCTCTGATCTGGAACTGAACCATAACTTCCTGGTTCTTAGGTCAGTACTCAAGCACTAAGCCTAGCTGGCTGGGATGTGTTTTTTTATTTTTTATTTTAAGTTTTCACATGAGAGTATTTTTTCCATTGATTTTCAGTGAGAGGAAAAGGGGAGAGGAGGAGAGAGAGAAACATTGATGTGAGAGCTACACATCAACTGGTTGCCTCCCTCATGGGCCCTGACTTGGGGGGCAGGGAATCAAACCTGCAAGCCAGGTATGTATCCTTGACCGGAATCAAACCCAAGTCCTTTCAGTGCTCAGACAAGTGGGATGGCTAGTGGTAAAACATTAAAGTGAATAAATTTTACCAATTATTGTTATTCCTAGAGAGCCCTGAGAGGCCTAAAACTTTCCCCCAGGCATTGTTTTAAGTCCTCCAGGGACCCTTTAGTTGTTAGGTTATGAGTTATTTGTAGACACATATACACATACAAAAATATTTTTTTAAGATTACAAAATGAATATTTGTTCATTCTAGATATCAGGAAAATATAGAAATAAAATTACCTGTATTCCTGTGCTCTCAAGATAATGATTTTTAACATATTGGTGTACTTCCATCCAGTTATTTCCTGTGTTGTATGTATGTGTAAATGTGTATACTTTTCCTTTTTTCGTTGGGCTCTCTGTTATATAGTTTTTTAAAAAATTAATAGACTTATTTTTAAGACAATTTTAGGTTTACAGGAAAACTAAGCAGAAAGCAGGGAGTACCTACCCTTCTCTTCTTATTAATATGTTGCATTGATGTGATACAATTTTTACAAATGATGAACCAATATTGATACATTATTGATAACCAAAATCCATAGTTTACATCAGGTTTCATTTTTTTGTCCTGTACATTCTGTGGGTTTTGCCAAATGAATAATGGTCACTATTAAAGTATCATATATCAATAGAATAGTTTCACTTCCCTAAACATCCTCTGTGCTTCACCTATTCATCCTTTTTTCCTGCCTCTCCCCTAGCAACCACTGGTATTTTTGGTAGTTTTTTCATTCTGCTTTTCCCTTTTAACATTATATTATGAACACTTCGCAGGGTATTATGTATTCTTCAAAAACATGGCTCTATTATATAGATGTTGTTTTGTACACCTTAAGTCATATTACTTTATTTTTGGACATTTAAGTTGATTCCAGTTTATTTCTATTATAAATATTAGTGTGACAATGAATATTTTTCTAACTAAAAATATTGTACATCTTTCATAGAATAAAATCTTAGAAGTAGAAATACTAAATCAAGAGAGTTTAAATCTTTTTAAGGATGTTCATACATGTTGCCAAGTAGTCCTAAAAAAGGTTGTAGTAATTTACAAGCCTTCTAGCAGTATATGGGAATGCCAGTTTACCTACACTCTTGCTAGTACTGAAAATTACTTTTCGTAAAAATATTTATTAATTTCTCTGGATCTATTTTTGTTCATAAGTTTATGTTATTCATTAAATTCCACATATGAGTGAGATCATGTGATATTTGTCTTTCTCCGACTGGATTATTTCGCTTAGCATAATACTCTCCAGGTCCATTCTTAAGTGAAGAGTGGGTGGGTGGGAAGAGATCAACCAATGAACTTGTATGCATATATGAATAACCCATGGATACAGACAATAGGGTGATGAAGGCCTGGGGTGGGGGCAGGGGTGGGCTAAAAAGAGTCAAAGAGGGGGAAAAAGGGGACATATGTAGTTCTTTCAAAAATAAAGATGAAAAAATATTGATAAGAAATATTTACTAATTTGCTAAGTGAAGGATGGTATTTCAGTTTTATTTTGCATCTGTCAGAGTACTATAATTTTGGGAAATATTTGTTTATGTCCTTTGCCTTTTTTTCTGATGAATCACTACTCTTATTAAGTGATGTAATGTATTTATTTTCTTCTAGATCCCTTTATATTGCCACACCAACAGGTTGATAAAGGAGCCATCAAATTTGTACTCAGTGGAGCAAATATCATGTGTCCAGGCTTAACTTCTCCTGGAGCTAAACTTTACCCTGCTGCAGTAGATACGATTGTTGTATCCTTTTCAGAATCTAACTATTGAAAAAATATATTTATATTATTACTGAAAGATCTATCATCCAAGGGAACATAAGATGTCCTTTTTTTGGAGGTGACTGTTTTGTTATCTAATGCCTTTCTTATTACATTTGAAAATGTGGGAAGTAACATTATTTTTTTAGATTAAATTGTGACCCAATTTAGAAATTAAAAGAGAACAGGTAATAAAAGAGTCCCAGCTGCATTTTAGCCTAGATAGTATCCAAATGTTATAAGATTCAGGACACAGTATTAAACTCTTGGTTATTATTGAAGAAGATATCTACATATATAAAAGCCTAAGCGACTGGCTGACCGGCGGTGGGCAGACACTAAATGTAGGAGCTGCCAAGCTGCCGTGACTTGGCAGCTGCAGTTCTCAGGTGATGCTCCCAGAACCAGAGAGGAGGGAGCCCAGTTCCAGGGTACATCACTCGAGAACTGCCCTCTTGCAATCTGGGACCCCTCGGGGGATGTCAGAGAGCCGGTTTTGGCTGGATCCCCACAGGCCAGGCCGAGGGACCACATAGGTGCACAAATCCGTGCATCAGGCCTCTAGTATCTAATATGATTGGACCACTTCTTTGGACATCAGCTTGCTATTGTTATGTTTGACATTGAAATAAAAGGATTCAAAAGGGAAAATAGCTTAGGTAACAGGTAGAGTGCTAAAAGTAGGTAGAGTGGGTAGTGGAAAATGTTGGCAATTCCCAACTTTTAAAGTTCATTTGAAGTTGGTTGTTTGGGCCTCAGAATATGATTTCTCAAAGAGAAATGTTAAAATCCCACATAGTCCTTAAGGATCTATTCAACTCATAGCTGAGTAATTCTGCATTATTTCCATTTATATGGTGCTGTTTCAGCTATATTCTAGATTAAATAGGTTTTTCCAACTAGTCTGGACAGGTTTTTGCCAACTAGTCTCTTAAGGTCCCAGATAGTCCTTAAGCATCTATTCAACTCAGAGCTGAGTAATTCTGTATTATTTCCATTTATATGGTTCTATGTCAACTATATTCTAGATTAAATAGGTTTTTGCCAACTTTGCCAACATAAAATGGCCATTTGCCTCAAATTGAGAGAAGGAACCACACTTGGTGGGAATGGGGAAGTCACTGTGGAGTGGGAAGGCTATTGGAATGGGTTTAAGAATGTGTCTTGTGCTCAAAAGGAGGCTGTCCTCTGTTGTGGAAGTTATATCTAAGGGGTAGTATAAGTTGTATGTTTATATCTTAGGAATAGTTTATATTGACATAGATACTGGTCACATAATAGGTGCTTAAATATTTGTGGAACATTGAATGAATGAATTGAAAATCAGTGGAGAAAAGTATTCTGTGAAGATAAGTTACCTTTTTATGTTTGTGATTTTTCTAAGTGTTGCAAGTTTAGAGTTCTAGAGTTCCTTTTTTGTTGTTAATCCTCACCAAAGGATATTATTTCCATTGATTTTTAGAGAGAGTGGAAGGGAGGGGGAGAGACAGAGAGAAAAACATTGATATGAGAGAGACACATAGATTGGTTGCCTCCTGCATGTGCCCCAGCCAGGGCCAGGGTCTAGCCTGCAACTGAGGTTTGACTGGGAAAATCCATCCCTGGACCCTTCAGTCCTCTGGCCAACACTCTAATCACTGAGAAAAAACAGACTAGGGTCCGGAGTTCCTTTAAATGGGAAATTTTCCTAGTACTTAGACTTTACTTTTTATTAAAAATATATTTTATTGATATTTTACAGAGAGGAAGAGAGAGGGATAGAGAGTTAGAAACATCGATGAGAGAGAATCATCGATCAGCTGCCTCTTGCACACCCCCTACTGGGGACGTGCCCGCAACCAAGGTACATGCCCTTGACCGGAATCGAACCTGGGACCTTTCAGTCTGAAGGCCGATGCTCTCTCCACTGAGCCAAACCAGTTTTGTCTAGACTTTACTTTTAAAATAATTTTATTTTGAAAAAAGGAGATATATGTACCACTATGTGTAATACTTTAAACAATAAAATAAAATTTAAAAAATAATTTTTATTTTGAAATAATTGTAGACTTTTAGAAAGTTGTAAAGCTAGTACAAAGGGTACTTACTGTGTATCCTTGAACCATTACTTTAAAAAAAATATGTACTGCAGTGTTTAATGTCAAATGATAACCAAAAATACTGTTTGTTCTAGGTTGACACTTACATTGGGCTCTTAAAGATAGACTAGAGATAGAATTATTGTTTTACTGTGTCCTTTACATAAAACCACCATTCAATAATTAAAACATTAGAACAATTGATATTTACTTAGCTATTTCACAGTTTTTAATATTTAGGTACAAAAAATTTCCTGTTTTGCATTACTTATTCTGGTTTTGTTGGCATTAGGTTATAAGTATTAACATCCAACTTAAAAACCAAGAATGATTATTAGATTCATTAATATAGCATTTATTGAGTATTTATTCACAGTGTGCCCAGAGACTCTGATCGGTCCTTATTCTGAAGAAGTTAATGGTGTAGGCAAGGATATGAGATGGGTTTAATGTGGCTTAACTAGTAATGTGATCATTATTTGACACCACCTCTCCAAGGCAATTTGATAAATAGTTCTTAGCTGTGTGTTTCCAGGCCATCATGGCAGAAGGAAAACAGCATGCTCTGTGTGTTGGGGTCATGAAGATGTCTGCAGAAGATATGTAAGTCTCACGTTAGGCCCCCTTAGCTTTTGAGATATGGGTAACCAATGCAGGAAGCATCAGAACGACAGGGGAAATTGGCTCTCATTCATACCACAAATATGTAAGCACAGAAGCCTCATTTCTGATTTTTCCTAGCACTAAGAAAGCTAGTGAAACATATTTTGTCTCTGGGATTGCATTTGTTTTTAAGCACTCTGAAAAGAACCCATGTGCCAATGTAACTGTTTTATATGTATGCATGTATGTATGTATGTATGTGGCATTTTAGGAATTTTTATTTAGTATGATTTAAGTTAGGTGGAAGGAAAGATGTTTTGCTACTAATTTTTAGTAAAAGGCGAAAGATTTATGCGGTCTGAAGAGAAACTAGAGCATTTGCTACTAATTTTTAAAACAGTGACGTAGTTTGGCACCACACAGTATTTGTCTTAGTACTTTAGTATATTTTGACCTGGTGGTATAGAATAGTAAGGAAATATTAAATATATATTATCAAAATGTAGTCAAGATATTTAAGAACTTTGGAAGTCATTTGAAGAATACATTATTGCTATTAATTTAATTTCAGGGTTAATTGTAACACTTGAATTTTCTTCTGATACGTTGACGCATTATTATTCTGTTTTTATACACCCAATAGATCACTAGAATCACTGTAAGACATGAATTGCCCCAGAGTTATAAATATAGTTTAATGTAGACAGTAATGTGAGTGTAATCTAAATAAATTCTCTACTTATAACTCAATAATTGAAAAATAGCATTGCACTTTAAATTATATGTACCATGCCTAAGCCTATAAAAATGCACAACAATATGTTTATGTGCTTTTTTCCTTCTACAGTGAGAAAGTCAACAAAGGAATTGGCATTGAAAATATCCATTATTTAAATGATGGGCTGTGGCATATGAAGACATATAAATGAGCCTCAGAAGGAATGCACTTAGGCTAAATACGGATATTGTGCTATATCTGTGTTTGTGTCTGTGTGTGACAGCATGAAGACAATACCTCTGTAGTTGTGCTGAATAAATTCAAAAGATGCTAAAATTCTGTTAGCTTCAAAAATTATTTTAGTTTTTCTTAAACTCCAGTTAAAATTGGGTAGTAACAAACTTGGACATTAAAAGATATCTGGTAGGGGAGGAGTGGGGGATGGGAATTGGGGGGGATGAGGACAAATATGTGATACCTTAATCAATAAAGAAATTTTTTAAAAAAGGTATCTGGTAAGTAACCAAACTCAGAGAGCTTCATGCCCCCCCTTTTTTTTAAATAAATTTTTATTGTTCATATTATTACAAATGTTCCCTTTCCCCACCCCCCATTGTCCTCATCCATAGGTGCACAGTTTATTTTCAGTCTCTTCCCACATCCCCCTCTCCCCTTTTCCCCAAGAATCGTCAGTTCACTCCCCTTCCATAACTCTGATTCTCTTATATTCAACAGTTAATATTGTTCATCAGATTTTTTTTTTTTAATTTCCTTGGTTTTTAGATTCACTTGTTGATAGTTACGTATTTGTTGTTCATAATTTTTATCTTTATTTACTTTCTTTTCCGAAAGAACCCCCTTCAGCAATTCATATAATTCTGGTTTGGTGGTGATGAACTCCTTTAGCTTTTTTTTTTTTATTAGTGAAGCTCTTTATCTGGCCTTCGATTCTGAGAGATAGCTTTGCTGGGTAGATTATCTTTGGCTGTAGGTTCTTACTATTCATCACCTTGAATATTTCTTGCCATTCCCGTCTGGCCTGCATGGTTTCTGTTGAGAAATCAGCTGACAATTGTATAGGTGCTCCTTTATAGATAACTACCTACTTTGCTCTTGCTGCTTTTAATATTCTCTCTTTGTCTTTTGCTCTTGGAATTTTAATTATGATTTGTTTTGGTATGGTCTTCTTTGGATTCCTTTTGTTTGAAGTTCTGTGTGCTTCCTGGACTTGTAAGTGTTAATTCTTTCACCAGGCGGGGGAAGTTTTCTGTCACTATTTCTTTCAGTATGTTTTCGATATCTTGCTCTCTCTGATCTTCTGGGACCCCCATAATTCTGATGTTGGTTTGCTTGAAGTTGCCCCAGAGGTTTCTTACATTATCTTCAATTTTCTGGATTCTCTTGCCTTCTTGCTTCTGCGGAGGAGTGTCTTCTGGCTCTTTATATTCCAAATCTTTGACTTGATTCTTGCGATCTTCCATTCAGTTTTTAGGACTCTGTATATTATTTTTTATTTCAGACAATGTATTTTTTATTTCTTGTTGATCCCTTATCATTTCTTGTTGGTTCCTTATTAATTCTAGTTGATCCCTTTTCATATCCTCATAGGTCTTATCAATCTTTTCTAGGAAATTCTTGAAAAACCTTATAAGCGTAAATTGAATTCTATATCCAGTCACTTTTTGTCCTCCATTTCTTTCGTTTGTGATCTATTTTGTTGTTGCATTTCACAGCTACAGATGGGGCGGAGTTTCAGGGTGGAGCCTACAGCCTTGGCTTCCGTCAGCCCAGCCCTATACAGTTCCTGAGTCTCAGTATTCCCCAGGGTCCTTCAGTACTCGCTGCAAGCACCTCTGAGAGAAAGGTGCCCTCGATTTTCGTCTGCTACCAAACAGTCTAGCTTCTCCCCCAGTGAGCCCGGAACTGGGGTTCAGTTCACTTGGAAGTGGAGTTGGAGGTGGCGTTCAGAGCAGTCTGGAGGTTTTGTCTCCTTCCCGCCAGGGCAATCCCAAGGCACAGCCAACCGTCCCTTCTCTGCGCGCAATGTGAATGCCTCTGGACCTCCTTTTACCGCTCCCCCTGGGTTCTGCCTTACAGCCCAGCTCCCTATGGATAAGCCTGGGTCCCCAGGGTCTGGCCTAGAACTGGTGTTCAGAGCAGTCTGAACTGGGGCCCAACACAGTCGGAGTTTTATCTCCTTCCCGCTAGGGAATGCCAGCCAGGCACTCAGCCACCCCTCCTCTCAGGCTCCGTCCTCTCTGTGTGCGCCACTTGTCTCCGTACCTTGGGCTTTTACAGCTCCTCCGCTCTTCCTTCTGGTTTTCTCCTTGCTTCTCGTTGTAGAATTTTCAGTCGACTTTCCTATAGTTCTGGGTAATATCCATTTTATATTTTAGTTGTATTTTATTGAAATTGTTATGTGCGGCTGCAGCTAGGTGTTTACCTGTGCAGCCATCTTGGATTCTCTTCATATCCTTTCTTAAGCTAATGATGTACTGGTAAAATGAAGGGCAAGACTTGATAAATGAACTTGCCAGCATACGGTTGACCACACTCACCCCCTGCCCAGAGAATCTAACAACTTAATGGGGCTGGAAACTAGATTGGGAATTTTATCCCATTATCCCAGGACACCTAGAAGTGCCCCGTTGTTTTTAAATATTTCACTATATGGAAAATTCCAAACATATACAAAAGTATGGGGAGAATAGTATAATGGACCTTATCTATATCCATCACCTAGCTTCAATTCATAACCAGTCTTATTTTATCTATATCTCACTTATTCCTTCCCACCCGGTCCCTGATTATTCTGGAGCAAATCTCAGATATATAATTTTATCCATAATTACTTTAATATATATCTTTTAAAAGATAAGTGTTTTTCTGCCGGGACCGGTTTGGCTCAATGGATAGAGCGTTGGCTTGGGGACTGAAGGGTCCCGGGTTCGAATCCGGTCAAGGGCATGTACCTTGGTTGCGGGCATATCCCCAGTAGGGGGTGTGCAAGAGGCAGCTGATCGATGACTCTCTCTCATCGATGTTTCTAACTCTCTATCTCTCTCCCTTCCTCTCTGTACAAAATCAATAAAATATATTAAAAAAAAAAGATAAGTGTTTTTCTTTTTAAAACCACAAACATAACCACAATGTAGTTATCACAACTAAAAAATGTAACTGTTTCTTAATACAATCAAATATCTGGACAGTGTCCAAATATATGACAAATTGACTTGATTGCTTCTCTTTTTAAATTTTTTAAAACTGTTGGTTTGCTTGAAACAAACCAGACAAGGTCCATTTATTGCATTTGGTTGCTATCTATTGAAATCTCTTTTTTTTTTTTTTAATATTTTTTTACTGATTTTTTACAGAGAGTAGGAGAGAGGGATAGAGAGCTATCGATAGAAACGTTGATGAGAGAGAAATGTCAACCAGCTGCCCCTTGCACACCCCCTACCGGGGATGTGCCCGCAACCAATGTACATGCCCTTAACCGGAATCGAACCTGAGACCTTTCAGTCCGCAGACTGAAGCTCTACCACTGAGCCAAACCAGTCTTGGCTGAAATCTCTTTTAATCTCTAAGTACCCCTTCTTCCTTTTCCTCTTTATTTAAGAAATTTAGTTGTTTTGTCTTATAGAGTTTCTTACCACATTCTGGATTTTCAATGATTATATTGCAGTAATTTAACTTGATTTTATGCCCCCTGTCTAGCCTGTAAACAGTTAAGAGTAATTAGATTCAGGTTCCATTTACTTAGTGTCCTTCTTGAAACTATATAGGTGCCAGAACTTCAGATTTGGGTCTCCACTGTATTCCTCAAACAATGTGCATCTTCTATCATAAGTGGACCTACTTTAGTAAGATCAGTAAGTAGATTTGGGAGTTACATGAGCTGTTACGAACTTATATAGTGATGATGGGCTTTTCTTCCTAATAACCTTGCTGTTATTCTAGTGTTGCAGCCATCTTTATTTAGTTGTTTACAAGTATATGACATGGTTTTACTTTTCAGATGGATACAGACATTTACAAGCTTGTGGTGTTACAGTTAGAAGTTGGTGAGAAAGGTGAGGGACAGTAAAAGAGAGAGACCATTTGGCTGGCTGTTACAGCTGGGCCTCTCAAAATATGACATAGGTGAAGGTAATAGATCCACTGAGATTGAGAAATGATTTTCCACTAATGAAACTTGTAGGACTTGGATTCCTGTTAGAATGTAGATGTATTTATAGTGGCAAGTTTGCTTAGGGTAAACAATTAGTAAACGGGAAATTTCTTGGTGAAAATGGCAAAGAGCAAAGGAAGGTTAATAATTTGGGGGAATATTTCATTTGGGCTGGGGCAAGGCTTAGAGAGGTTTTTCTGCTTCATCATTAATTAGAATGGTTATGTCTGCCATCTTTGTTTCCGAGCCTGTACAGGTACCCTGATATTTTACTTCCTGCATCCTTTTTAAGTTATAAATAGAATGTTTTCCTGTGTTATTGAAGCATCCATCTTATATAAAAATAGCTGTTTGAAATTTTAACCTGCTATTTGGTTTCTGTAAATGCTTGCCTGCTTAAATAACAAGGAAAATGAGACTGCTCCCACTTCAGAGAGTCCATTAAACCTTCTCCAGACGAAATTATCAGTGCTGGCACCAGGCCAGGCCTTTGGTTGAGGTCTCAAGGCCCCAGCACATAGGGGCTCTTTAAAAATGTGCAAAAGGGGCCAGAAACACCCCATATTTGGGAGACAAGAAGGTTAAAAACATATAAATAGGGAAAATTCCTCCATGTTGGGGCCCAGAATTTGAGAGACATTTTCCTCTGGACCTGCATATAATAAAGTGTAACTCCAAACTCTCTGAGCATTGTTTGATTATTCTGGTTATCTGTAACATTATTGGTTCCCTGAGATTCCAGGAAAACCAACCCATGCTTAGATTTTTAGCCTCTGGTGAGTGGACCGGTTTTGTGGTCTGGGGGAGCTGGATAGGCCTCCTGGAGGTGCCGTTCTGCTGATTTAGCAGAATTGAACTGGGGGACTCAGGGTGCTCCCGGACCTCAGCCCAGGACCCGGTCGGCATCTGGAGAGAGTGGACGGACACTTCTGGACCTGTGGACAGAATCTGTAAGGTAGGGGCCCCATCAGTTCAGCCCACTCCAAGTGAGTGGAAGTGGGAGCTTGATCACCTCCCCAGAAGCCATACGGCTTCCTCAGGCAAATTAATCAGGAATCAGGTGGACTGTTTAAACTCTGGGTAAATATCTGGTAGAAGTAAAAAACTTGAACTAGATAGTATTTATTGATAAATGTGGGACTCTGGAGGTGAATGAAGGAATTAT